CCCCCATTTTAGAAGTAAGCAAAGGACAACAAAGTTCCAGAGCAGTGTTTAAGTGCTGGGAGCAGCAAATAATCCAACACAGGACTGAAAGAAAAAACAAAGTACCTACAACCAGAGACAAAGTTTGATATTAACTAGTAAAGATCTCCTTTCACCAAAGAACACCTATAACACCTAGAAGGACCAGAAGAACCCTGGGCTACCAAGCCAGAAAGGGGAAAGTGCTGAGGGCCTCAGCAATGCCCCCTGATACCCACAACCAGTCCTGAGAGTGGGGGATAAGGGCCTTGGCCACACCCCCCAGACACACACAACCACCCCAGCACCAACACCAAGCTGCCACAGGAAGCGCCCTGGGCTCTCCCAAGCTGGGGTAGTGGGGGATTTGGGGACTTGGCCGCACACCTCCAACACCTGAAACCAGGCCAGCAACAACCACTGAGCTGGCACAGGAAGCACCCCAGGCTCTCTTAAGCCAGGGCAGCAGGGGGCTTTGGGCCTCTTCCATGCCCCCCTGACATGCACAGCCAGCGCATCGATGATCACCAAGCCACCATAGGAAGTGCCCTGGGCACTCTCAAGATGGGGCAGTGGGGAGCCAAGGGCCTTGGCCACACCCACCCGACATGTGCAACCAGCCCAGCGATGACCACCAAGCCGCAGCAAGAAGGGCCCCAGGTTCCTGAGCTGGGATGCCAAGCCACACACCCCTGACATCTGCACCCAGCCTGCCAATGACCAAGCCACCGCTGGAAACCCTCTGGTCTCCCCTGTGGGAATAACAGTGGTGCCACATGTCTCAGTGCTACCCCTTCTCCTTCCTCCTTCTTCCATCCCATTTCCTTCCCCTTTTCCCTCTCCCCCTCCCTCCCTACTGCTCCACAACAACATCCTAAAATGTAAAAAAAATCTTAATAAAATTACTTTTTCTTTAAAAAATAAAAATAGTAATAAATAAATAAATTACACATCCCATCAGAAAAAAATTTTGAGCAAGTACGTTCAATATGTGCATACTGATTTACATATAAACTATTTACATGTATTATTTCACATACTTGTTTTTCATTATAAAACATATTCAAAAATAGAAACTTTAAAGGGTGACATAATACATAAATAAACGCGAAAGCTCTAAAAAAAAAGTACATACCTGTGTACTATATGCCTCGAATATTCTGAATCAGTTTAGACTGTAACCAGCTCCGCAGAGCACTGTCATATCTTCCAAAGTTTGGGAACCACAGTATTACTGCAACAATATTCTGCTTTATTTATAAAAAAAAGTAGCTAAACAATATTACTAACTTTGAAAATTTATTTTAATTTACTGGCAGAGAATTCCCATGTGAAAAAAAAATGCATAATTTTCTATATGTGTTTTAGAGAATATCATAGGTCAGTGTTAAACTGCACTATGGTTAAGCACGTGTTACAAGTTCAAATATTTATTTTCACCTTTGTGCAACTCAGTGTTAACACCTGTACTCATTAAACACATGTTAATTCCCTGGAATTAAACATTAATATGTTTAATGGGAACATTTAATATCAATTAATTATATAGTATTTATTTTACTATAGTTAGTAAATATTTAAATTCGTAAAACAAAATGGGATAATAGTATTATACTATACAATTGATGTAACTTTAATAGAATTATTGTGATTCTATTATCTTTGGTTTTTTATTTTGTTTATTTTTTACTTATTTTTATTATTTTATTATTTATTATTTATATATATATATATTTATTTATTTATTTATTTATTTATTTTAGTTCCCAATTATGAGTAAGGACATGTGGCATTTCTCTTTTTGTACCTAGCTTATTTCACTTAACATAATTTTCTCTAAGCTCATCCATGTTGCTTCAAATGGAAGAATTTCATTCTTTTTTATGGCTAGTATTATTCCATTGTGTATATATGCCTCATTTTCCTTATTCAATCATCCATTGATTGAAATTTAGGTTGGCTCCAATTCATGGCTTTTGTAAATAGACCTGCAATAAATATGGGAGTGCTAGTGTACCTTCAACATGATTATTTCTGTTCCTTTGGGTAGTGAGATTGCTGGATCATATTGTCATCCTATGTATAGTTGCTTGAGAAACTTCCAGACTATTTTCCATAGTGGCTATATGAATTTTCAATCCAACCAACAGTGTAGGATGGTTCCCCTTTCTCTGCATCCTCACCAGCATTTGTCTTTTTGATAATGACCATCCTGTCTTTTTGATAATGACCAGTCTAACTGGGGTGAGATGATATCTCAGTGTGGGTTTGAGTTGCATTTTCCTGATGACTGGTGATACTGAGCATTTTTTAATTCATCTGTTGGCCATTAGCATATCTTCCTTTGAGAAATGCCTATTCAGCTTCTTTGCTTATTTTTTTACTCGTTAATGTTTTTTCACTATGAATTTGTTTGAGTTTCTTGCATATTCTTGATAGTAATCCCTTGTCAGATGCAGTTTGCAAATACTTTTTTCCCATTCTGTATGTTGTATTTTCACTCTTAATTTTTTCTTTGTCTGTACAGTAGATTTTTAGTTTTATATAATCTCATTTGTTGATTTTTCCTTTTGTTGACTATGCTTTGGAGGTCACATTCATAAAGTCTTTGCCCAGTTCTATTTCCTGAAGTGTTCCCCCTATAAGTTCTTTTAGGAGTTTTATAGTTTCAGGTCTTATATTTAAGTCTTTAATCCTTTTCAAGTTGACTTTGGTACATGATGACAGGTACAGGTCTACTTTAATTCTTCTATATGTGGATCTCCAGTTTTCCCAGTACCATTTATTGAAAAGGGACTCTTTTCCCCAATGTATGTTCTTGGTACCTTTTTCAAAGATCAATTGGCTGTACGTTTGTGGATTGATTTCTGTGTTGTCTATTCTGTTCCATTGGTCTGAGTGTCTATTTTTATGCTAGTACCATGCTGTTTTGGTTACTATAGCATTGCAGTATAATTTGAAGTGAGGTAGTGTTATGCTTCCAGCTTTATTTAGTTAGTTAGTTAGTTTTGTTCAGTACTGCTTTGGCTCTTCAGGATCTTTTGTTGTTCCATATGAATGTTAGGATTGTTTTTCTATTTCTGTTAAGAATGTCATTGGTATTTTCATGGGGATTGTATTGAATCTGTAGATTGCTTTTGGTAGTATGGACATTTTCATAATGTTAATTCTTCTAATCCAAGAGCATGGGATGTCTTTCCTTCTTTTTATGTCTTCTTTAGTTTCTTTCAACAGCAATTTGTAGTTCTCATTGTAAGGATATTTCACCTCCTTTGTTAGATTTATTTGTCGGTATTTTATTTTATTTTATTTTAGGAGGGCATTGTAATGGGCTAGTAAAAAATCCTAGATTTTTATTTTCAAGATCTCATATGTTATTTTAGTACACTGTATATTTTTCATGCCAGTAATTTTATTACTGCTTCCAAATAGAGTTTAGTAAGATATGTACATTTACAAAGGTAGAGAAAGAGACAGTTTCAGATTACTTCCAGATGTTCTGCTTTATTATTGTTTGTCATACTAGTATTTGACAGTATGAAGGTAGTTTTTCAAGGAAGGTAGTTTTTCAAGGAAGGCAGAAATAGAGATAAATATGTAGAGATGAGATGCAAAGAAAAAAAAAAAGAAAAGGAAGAGTAAGAGGAGAAAAGGAAATTGCTTAATTTGGTCCAAATTGCAATGGAATTGGATGATCCTTTTTGTTTTCACACACTTTTATAAGGGGTCTTTTATATCAATTTTTATATGGGCTTTATTACTTGAGAGTTGCAGAAATAAATAAATTCAGTAATTTGTATCTGTTATTTTAAAGTGCATCACAATTTTATGACCTATTGAAAATGTATCCATTAATTTGATATATTTTGCAACATAATCAGGGTCTACTTCTCTAGGAGAATTTTTGCTTTACTAATGTCTGCAGTTATAGTTACTTCTAAAGTTAATGTTCTACCTAGAAAACAATGCAAATATTAGTTCTATTTCTTAATGTAATTAATTATAGCCCACACTATTTAGAGCCTATTTTATTTTATTGTATTTTTTAATTTAATTAGTAAAGTTTATTAATTTAAAAATTAACAAAACACAGGTAAAGTACATGGTGCATAAAACCCACTCAATAAATTAAAGTTGTGATCTCACCAGCTTCATTTCTCCCCTGTATCCCTAGCCTACTCTGATTCTAAGCTCCAGTCAAATCCAACGACTTTCAGTTCTCCACGTGACTATGTATTCTTGTCCACTCACTTTCATAATGCCATCCCTCTCAGCTCCAAATATCCATCCTTCTTTTATTTTCTTGGTCAACTCCTAACCATCCTTTAATATTCCTTAGTTATTTCACTCTTACATATGCACCAAATTGTGTGTGCAGGTTATTCATGAAACACTACTTGTAAACAAAGACAAAAAAGAAATAACCAGAGTTTCTAATAACAGGGAATAGTTACATAAATTATGTGCACCATAAAATGTGGTGTTCATTAAGGACAAACTAGAACAATAATCACTGACTTGCAAGGACCACTAAAACATTGTCACAAAACAGCTATTAATGTAAAATACAAAACAAAATGAGACTATATGTGTATATATGTAAATGCACAGAAAGTGTTATGGAAGGACAAAATTCCAAGCTGTCAACAGTGACAACCCACTGGAGGGTAGAATTGGGGAATGGAGGGAGACTATTTTTCTCTGTATACTTTTATATATTTAAATTATTTATATTTACTTATTACAGTTATGTGTTCTTTCATAATTTGAAAAAAAATACCTTAAAGAATTTGGGAAGTGATTGTTTTAATAAAAATAACTGAAGATCTGCAGCTCTGTCCAAATAGGAATTTTAATGGTTGCACCATGAAATGCATTTACACATTGTCAAAAAAAATTATGCATCACAATGAGTAAATTTGGTGATTTTGTGGCCTACTCTGTCTTATCTCTAATATTCTTTTTCCCTTTTTTAATTAAAGGTCTCATTCGTTTGCAAGAGCTCATCAAAGCTCCATCAAGGTACAACCTTCGACTTAAAATCCGTCAACTACCTGCTGACACGAAGGATTCAAAACCCTTACTGAAAGAAATGAAAAGAGGCAAAGAGTTCCATGTGATCTTTGACTGTAGCCATGAAATGGCAGCAGGCATTTTAAAACAGGTAATCTTTAAATTACTTAAATTCTTAGCTTCTTTTATAAACCTGCACTTAAACTATGCTCTTTAAAAAAATATATCAAAGTGTTGTTACACAGTCAATGAAAAACATTGGAGAATTCACCTTTATGTAATTTTATGATAGAAAGTCTGACAATTGCTTTTAAATTAATTGTCTTAAAAGAAAAGTAATGTAAAGATTGATGATATTTAAAACAGATTGAAGTTTTGAGGTATTTTCAAATGGCTGCAATACTGTTTGTTAACGAGATTGTTGATTAATGAGATAAATGTTTCCATTTTATATTGTAATGAGGAAAGAAATTGAGTCAGTGATTAAGCATTTCATCCATTGCAGTTAACTAGTAGGAAAAAGATTAAATAGGTTACTATTTAAAAAGGTATCTACTATGAGATGCCTCACATATTTGATCTTATTTTATCATCAGCACAGCTGAAAGAGATAGGGACTATCTCCGCTTTACAAAGAAACTGAGTCTCATAATGACTCAGCAACTTGACCAATTTTCAGTGGCAAGAAAATAGCAGAGACTCATGTCCCACTTAGTGATGTTAACAAGTTAAGTAGTCCCTCAGTATCCGTGGGGAACTGGTTCCAGTTTCTCCTCAGATACCAAAACCACCATATAAATTACACACACCCTCCAGTATACTTTAGGTTATCTTTAGATTACTTATAATACCTAATGAAATGTAAATGCTATGTAAAAAGTAGTTGTACTTTTTTTTTATTGTTAGTTGTTATGTTTTATTGTTGTTGTTGTTGTTTTTTCCCCCAAATGTTTTCATCTGTGGTTAGTTGAATCCTCAGATGCACAACCTGGGGATGAGGTGGGCTGACTGTATTCATTCCAGAATCAAGCATTGTCTCCCTAGAAATATCAATGAAACTAACAATTTGCAGTAGTAAAAGCCCTTAATGTTGCCTGAGCACTGTTCAGACTTAACAGCAAATTGGGAAACAGGAATTATTATTAGTCCATATCTTACAGATGAGGGAAATGAAGTTGGAGATTAAATGTCTAGTACAAGGCCATACATTTACATTTACAGAGACTGGATTTGAACTCAAATCTTTAGATTTTTTTTTTAAGCTCTTTTATGTACACAGAGCTGACACCACAGTGGCTTGGAATTAGTCAACTGTTTTGAAACCTCTCATGTATAGGATAAAGTAGATCTACTGGAAGGTTATACAAATTCAGATGTCAAACTGGAACCCACTAAATATAACTACCAACAGTAAATGCCTGTTATAACGTTATTAGTTTATTAAGCAGATGTTTGTCCAATATTCCAATATGAATGTTGGATTCACCACAGTAAAATATTTAATTGGTTTAGGAAATTGTTCTAGTTATACATTTGGGCAATAAAGCATATGGAACTTTTTGTTTGGGTTTTTCTTTTTCTTTTTTTTTTTTTGGTAATGAATAAAGTGATGCAATAATGTAACCACTGAAATCTAGAGTCAAACTTTATTTTTCATATAAATCCCAAGCAATTGTTGATCACATTTAGAGTTCGCAGATTTGGACAGGAGACCTTTCCTTTACTCCTGGAGTGAGTAGCACTCTACTATTTCAGTGACAGAGCTTTGGTCTGCTTTCTCTAGGCTTCTCACAAGTATGTAAATAATCAGTTGTCTTTTCTCTAAAGAACTAACTTTGACTTATTTTGCTGTCTGGAAGGTAAGAATACTCATCACCTTTGATAGAATTTGCATTCTGCCTTCTACTGGGTATATCAATTATTTTATACTTTTTTATGCATAACTTGCTCTGTCTGCAAAATGAAAACAGAACTAAGATCATATTTGAATTTATACAGCAGAAAAAAATTACATAAGTTCAGTAGATGAAAAATTAGAGCAAAGGTAAAATGAGAATATGAAAGTTCAGATGAAGTCAGAATGACAGTATGATACAGAATGCATGCTCTGAGGTCCTGTAACAGTGGCAGACCACATATATTATGGTCTCAGAGAGCATTTGTCTCACATTTAGATTTCATTTACTCTAGAAACCAATTCAAGAAGAAAGCAAATAGCTTTCTTCTAGTAAATGCGGCAGTCCATTTAATCAGGACCTATTTTGTGATTTCTGACATTTTTGTGAGATTTCCCCACATTGGCTAATGTTGGAACCCCAAAAACAGGTAATAGAAGTTGAAGACCAGAAATAGCTAGTATAGCTTCATCTGAGAATGAATATTAGGAGTATACAAAAAAAGGAGATAGCTTTAATCAGGTTAGTCTTATTTGTTTGTTTATTTGATTTATTTAACTTATTTATTTAAACTAGCTGAGCTTTTACTAAATATTTAGCAATGATTTTATACTTTTCCTGCCTGAAAGCATTAAATGTGAGTGGTGCTTGGGGCTGAATAGATTTCTTCCGAGGCAAGTTGAGTGCACTAATTGGTGTATATGCCTCCAGAGCAGATGATTTACTCCCATCCAGATTTGTCAAAGAGAATGCCCTAGGCAGAGCCATGATGCTGTGAAGTGAAACCTCTCAAGGACATTCTATCACAGAGGAAAAATAATAATCAAGAACTTCAAAGTCTAGATCAGAGAGTGTGAAATAAAAACTTTTAGCCTGAAAAAATTGTAAAGGCAGATGCAAATAAACTCCTACAGAGCAAGAAGGAAAATAAAACAAAAAAAATTAAGAAATATCGATAGAGTCGCCCCCCCCGTCCCCCCGCCCCCTGCATTGTTAACCTTGAGCAATATAGTTTCTGGATCTAACCTGAAAGATAAACTGGTCGTAATTTATATGCCTAGATAACTGCATGAGCTAATTTGCCATACAGTATTGTTTACATGACACCAGCTTAATGTTAGGGATTTCTAATAATATTTTGATTTTAGAAAAGTTAATTGGTGGCATTTCTTTCTAAGAGAGATGATATAACACAACTAATTTTCTATTGAGTCCACTCATATTACTTGTAAGCAACAAGATGATTTTATTCTTTTTACGTACAATTCATTCAAAAGTAGTAGCAAGACATATATTATAGGAAGGTCCAGAACAAGTTTTTTTTGTTGTTTTTTTTTTAATACAACTGGAAATTATTAACTAAGCCTTCAAGAGTATTCCTGTTGTTCATTTTTTGTGAGTAAGCTTAATAATATAGATTTTTATAAAAAAATAGTTATCTTCTATTTTTATTTCTAGCTTTTTCTTGATCATACATCATAGCACATAACTGATTCTTGTATTCAAAATCAAAGGCTGAGAGAAGGTCAATGAAAATGACAAACAGACCCTAGTTATCTCTTATAGATCTTTCTCAGGGATAAGCCTGTGGCCAGTGTACGATACCCACAGCAGAAGAAAACCACCTCTTCCCAGCAATCTTCTCAACTCCCTCCCATCCCTGCCACCAAAGCATTTTCAAGCACTAGACTGAGTTGCCCACAATTTCAAATGATCAAGGAGGAAACAGGCAAAAATTTTAGAATGCATAGATTTTAAAATAGATTTACATCTTTGGAAATTTTTTATTATTATTTTACTTCTCAATATACATTGTAGTTGATTTTCATGCCCCTTTACCCATTCCTCTCCACCACCCCATAGTATCTGTTCACTTGACTTAAAGAGTTCAAGGAATTTTTTGTGGTTGTTCTGTCCTCTCCCCCCACCTTGATTTGTTTGTGTGTTTATTTATTTATTTATTTTTAGCTCCCACAGATATGTGAGAACATGTGGCATTTCTCTTTCTGTGCCTGACTTGTTTCAATTAATATTATTTTCTCTAAGTCCATCCATGTTGTTGCATATGGTAGTATTTTGTTCTTTTTTATAGCAGAGTAGTATTCCATTGTGTAGATGTACCTCAGTTTCCCTATCCACTCATCAGATGATGGACATTTGGGCTGGATAACTATACCATTTTATAAAATGATATAGATTATGGTCTAAAATTCCAAGAGTTAGAGAACTGGAGTCCATGTCTACTCTCTGTCTCACTTTGTTGGGTGATTTATTCATCCTTATTATGTCCTAGTTTCCTTACCTGTAAAACAAACATAATAACAGAACCTATTATATAGAGTTTTTATGAGGCTTAAATATGCAATGTGCTTAGAATAGCACTTAACACATTTTAGGCATTATATAAGTGTTATTTATAGTCATACATCTGAATCACTATTTCTTTCGATTATCTTTATTTCTATACCTATTGAGTTGATAAAATAAAAACCATTGACAGAAGTAATACTGAGCTGTCATTGAGTGGTTCTGGAGATAGGAAACCTCCTGCACATATCCACCAGGAACAATGAATACCTTCTTCAAAAATAATCTTGTAAATTTTTATTTAAATAGGAAAATTTTCTTTTATTTTGCTTTAGATGAAAACTTCATCAGAACATTATTAGTAATTATATAAATAATTACTATCTGTTCTATATATATTATTTGCTGACTTGGTTCCTAAATTCCCTTTCTCTACTCAATTCTTTGATGCCAATGCCACTTTTTATTAAACAATTCTTCTCCATTCTTTTACACATTTTATATGTTCTAAATTTTTTCACAAATATCTGTCCCTTCTTAACTGAATAGTTCATGTTGCATAACTACAAATTTATTTTACCTCATTGGTTAGTGCCAACTTATGAGCATGGTGCTTTTCTGTACACAGAATACACAGGGTGTAGCTGGGGCATTTTCTTAGTAAATGAGTTTGTGCTATTAATGGTTTGTGGAAAACTATTAGATGTACCTGAGAATACTTGTTTGCTACTAAGAGCTCTTCATTCAGCTCAAAAAAGCATTGTTTTCAATTATCATCACCAACTACTGTTTTTTTTGTTTGTTTTTTTGTTTGTTTTGGTGGCTGGCCTGTACCCTGACCTTGGTGTTACAACACCACACTCTCACCAACAGAGGTAACTAGCCAGCCCACCAACCACTATTTATTGATAAACAGCTATTCCAAAAGCATTTTCCATTTCCAGAGGAGAAAATAACATAGATACTTTTTATCCCTAAACATTGTAATCCAAAAGTCCTTTTTTTAAGATTGATTGTCTAAAATTGAGGACTGTAAAAGAGTGAAATAAAATATAGTAATTTGTAACTGTTCTATTAATAACAACAAAATCATTTCTTTAATTATCTGTATTTTTTGAATAATAGTGGTAATTTACATTTTCTTTATGAATGCCGAAGCTATGTCTCTAAAGTGCTAAAAAAAAATGCCTGTTGACATTGTGCTTTGCAGCACTTTTTTGTAATCGAGTAACACTGTTCATCAAAATAAAATGGTGTTCCTCATTAGAGTATTTGCAGTAAAGACACTACAAATGTAAAGAACTAAGATGTGCTAATTTCAGGTTTTGTGTCAAATTTAATGCCTCCTTTAATGTGTAAAGCCATAAGCTTTGCAATTGCAAACATTTAACTAATAGTTTTCCTATCAAGAGAATTGGCTCAGAAATTTCTTCAGTACCACTAATCTTCAACTACTGGGAAAAGATTTGTTTTAACCAAGTTCTGATGTAACATGAATACTGTAGGTTGATTCTTTATCATGTTTTACTATGTTTTTACCACTTGTCTTATTGACATAAAGCATTTCATGTAATGTGAACCTTCAATAATAATATTTTTATTTTTACTTATTTATTTTTTATTTTTTAGGCATTAGCTATGGGAATGATGACAGAATACTATCATTATATCTTTACCACACTGGTAAGTAATTTTTTTAAATGTAATGCTCTAAATGTTATTATTATGACTTTTGAGGATGAAAAGTGGGTTTTAAGTGAGAAGTATTATAATGAGTGATACCTTTACAATTACACTTTATTTTTCTTTTGTAAATCCTAGAAGGAATTATCTTCAGAGAAAACTAATAACTCTTGGGTGAGAAGGTGATGATTTTGAAATAATATCATTTCAGATATCAATGCAAAATATTATGTGTTTTATTTTTATATTGCTTTAGAGGACTTTTAGGACATAATGAGTTTTAAAATTAATTTGCTGAGAAATCAGTGTTTTAGAAAAGCCCCCAAATCTATTAACTTTTCAATAATCAGGTTTACTGAGGTGCACTTTCTGTAAACTAAATTTACTATCCTGTTTCTGCTTGTTTAGTTGTATTTTTAAAAAGTCAATATGCCTTAATTTGCAATTAGCAAATTGAATGTTACCTTTATATTGTGTTTTCATATATCCACTACACAATTTTTCCTTATTGTGTATAAAAATCTTACTTCACTTGAATCAAACTCACTTACTTTTAGCTCTATATCTTTATCAATACATTATTCTTGTTTCCCTTACTTTGTGAAACAACTCACTGTCTTTCATATAGTTTTCTTTAGTTAGAAGCTTAATCTGCTTTCTTAAAAACCAAAATAAAAAAAATCCAGACAAAACAAAACCAAAAAATCGTAATACCAGTCAAGGAAGCATGGCATAGGAAAAACACCTCTGTGAGTTAAAGCAAAATATTAATGCCTAAAATTTAAGGGCACACTATCCTTAACATAAAGAAAATGTATGCAAATCTAAATTTAAGTTATAGAAGAGGCTATTGTTCCATTTGTAGAATTATAATTAATATATACATACCTATTTACATACAAAGTGTACATATTTTCATTGCCAAAGCATAAGGACAGTTTGAATCTTGGTGATTTGTGATGTTTACATCATTTGAGACACAAGAGTGTGAAGTATCCTAAAGGAAGCATTGATAAGTGACAACATCAATAATATATGACTGTGAATATACTCTGTTGATAATAACACAAATAAATTTGTCTTTCAGGACCTCTTTGCTCTTGATGTAGAGCCCTACAGATACAGTGGTGTTAATATGACCGGGTTCAGAATACTAAATACAGAAAACACCCAAGTCTCTTCCATCATTGAAAAGTGGTCTATGGAACGGTTGCAGGCACCTCCGAAACCTGATTCAGGTTTGCTGGATGGATTTATGACGGTATGAATACCCACTTAAAGATCAGTTTGTGTGTTTCTAAATAGTATTACATAAATTATTAAATCCTATGGGTTCAAACTTCAGCTTAATTGTTTGGTAGTAAAGGCATGACATCAGAGCTACTACTGCAAACAATTTTATTCACAATTTCTAAATCAATTTTATATGACAAAATTACACTTTTATCCAAATATCTGCAAAGACATTACAGTAATAATCATCAGGGGATACATTACAAGACCTTCAGTAGTAGATGTCTGAAACCACAGATAGTACCAAATCTTATATATACTATGTTTTTTCTTATACATAAAAACCTATGATAAAGTTTAATTTGTAAATTAGGCACAGTAACTAATAATCAAATAGAACAATTATAACAATATATTGCAATGAAAGTTACATGAATGTGATCTTTCTTTCTCTTTCTCTGAAAATATCTTAATATTTTTGGACTGGTTGACCACGGGTAACTTAAATCATGGAAAAGGAAATTGAAGATAAGGGGGGACTACTGTACAACTATCTTTAGGATACTACCATGTAGGGATTTCTCTAAAGTTAATTAATGCCATGTATAGGATAACTTCGTATAATGTATGCTATACGAAGTTATTACGAGCAGGGGTTTTTATAAGGTACCAGGGGCGGGGGAGCTCTTATCCAATAGGGAGTTGACACACTGCTACCCGGGAGGAGGGGTGAGGACAGGGCAGGCGGGAAAAAAGTGCAGAGTCACCGTACCCCGGAAGTTAGTTCTTTTAAGTTTTGAGTTCTCCGCTTAGGTTTCGGTTTCCCAGAATCAGCCCGAAGCAAGTTTAAAATGGCTGAGGTACTTTCCCAAAATGGCTGGCGGCCCGGGCGTAGCCCAACATAGGACAAATGAGAGACAGAAAGGAAGACATTAATCTGATAGTTATCCTTCTGATCTTACCTACCAACATATGATTACTCTTTATCATGATGATTTCTGAGATCTGGTTATATGAATGACTTATGTCAAACAAAAATCGCCTCTGAGTTTACTCACTCTTACAGCTCAAGACTAATCAATAATCACGTTTGTCATTTTCAAGTCCTAGTTGAAACTTAGCAACTATCCGTGCATAAACTGTAAAAGAAGAGTACATTCTTGTATAACTTTAGATGTTTATACCAATGCTTCCAATAAAAATGGAATGCAAGAAACACAGTAATTTTAAATTTTGTAATAGCTGTGTTAAAACCATAACCTCCAAAAGACTGGTAAAAATCATTATTAATGTGTAGTATTAAGCCACTATATCAAAAATATTCTCTAAGCAGGAAATCAATATAAAAATCATGACTGAGATATTTTGCATTCTTTTTTTTTTCCTACTAAGTCTTTGAAAGTTGGTGTGTATTTGACACCACATATATTCAGACTAGTCTCATTTCAGTCACATTTGCTTGGTAGCCAAATGTAGCTAGTGGCTATCATAGGACCAGGTAGGTTTATATCTTACTATTTAAACAAATTATGAGTACCTGATGTATTCTCCTTAAATTTATTTAATACAGACCAGATTATCACTATTTAGGAAATAGCTTAACACTTGAGCAATGATTACATTTCATAGATCATTACCACCTGTTCTTCATGAGTATTAGTCTAAGAGGAAACTTTGTAAACATAAACATCCTCTATCCTTACATGTGGAAAAGCTTTTTCTAATATAATCATAATTTTCCATTAATTGTTTCAGTGAGACTTCAAATTATGCTTTTGATGTTGTAGAAAAATAAAGAGAAAACTTGATTTTTTTTTTAACTTAAAAAAAAGATTTAGCAATACAACTTGAGTGTCTTCATAGACTGAAGAAAAAATTATTACCCTTAAGGCAGCAAATTCCTGACAGGGAAAAAAAAAAGACATTTGTTTTTTTTTTTAGTGGGAAAAATGATTTAATAGAATTTGAAAATTTCTTATATTCACATCAATTTATTCAATAAAATAATATAAGGGGAATTTTGTTCTTTTACGTATAAAGAAATAGTTCACTAGCTCTAGTGAACTAGAGCTATTTTAGGTCTTAACCTAAAATATATTTGAGAAACTTTATTGGGAGGAAAATAACTACAAAACTGAAAACTCAAACTGTTTTTCCAAAGTAGAGTCAGATTTAAAATAAAATACAACCTAGAAAAAAGTTATGAATATTATATTTTACTACCAGTGTGAAGATGGTGAATCAAACTTTTGTAATTTAAGACAATTATTTTTTAATTAAAATGTATATTATCCTTTAAATTGTTATAATCATGTGTATATTTTTTCATATATTCTTTCTACCTCTCTAAAATTCTTTAATTTCTTGGTAGATATCTTACCAGTTATTATTCAGAATCACTCTGTGTCTCTGTAGGAGTCCCTGTATGACTCTATGTGTCATCTCCTGAAATGAAGTACTTCCTCACTTGTAGTAACTTATGTAGACTGTTGAAAGACAGATAAATGCAAGGGAAAGTGTATTAATTTCTTATCCAGGGAGTTAGAGGCTCTGGGAGGGAATTAACCTGCAGAAGATGGGAAAGGAAACAGGGTGTTAGGAGGGATATAGGTTTGGGTTCTATCTTTCCATCCATGAGCCCATTCCCCCTCTGTTCTGCCCTTTTGATCTCACAGGTGATTTGTGGAAGTGGAAAAACGATAGAATAAAAATAGAGTGATGAGAAAATTAGTTTATTTATTGATAATTCTGGGCATTGTATGTAGATCATGGATTTGAAATCTTAAGAAAATATACAATGCAACACTATTCCCTGTGATATAGACCTTAAATGCTTTTCAAGGGGCATCTTAAAGTTAGTGAAAAATGTGAAAATTTTACTAGAAAACTTACATGAGAACATTTTTAAAATAAGTGCGCTGAAGATAGGTTTACTTGTATGAGCACTTTTTGAATAATATTGGTTATCTAAAAATGTATACTGACTATTTATTTTTTATGTTTATAAATACAACATGAAGCACAAAGTGTTTTGGAAATAGGCATGAAGTTTGTCATTAAAATAAAGGTTTCTTCCAGAATGGATGCAGAATAATTATTGTTTTGGAAATTTTGGAAAATTAACATATTTTAAAATCTTTTAATTTTATAATATTAATTCTTACTTATAAAACAGTATATGATTATTATAAAAGTAAAACCAATATGAAATCTGTATTAAAATATCAGTATATTTATGCCTTGTGTAGTATTTTTTATTTTCTTTTCTTTCAAAATTATATTGTAAGCATTTTCACAAGTCATTAAATGTTTAGGAAAAGAGATTAATGGGCTATTTCTATCATGAATAGAGTCAGGAAATTAAAAAGATTTTAGTTGGAAGAGAAAAGAATTAAAGTCTGGCATTGTGGCATTTGGCAACATTCCTTCAGTCAATTCATGAAATCTTAGTGTTCATATATCTTGTTCTTTTTTCCCCCTATGGTTCCATAAAGAGATGGGATTATCAGCAAAGTCCCTAGTGTTTGTGGAGCAAGACCTATTATTTTCAGTATCATAGTTATTTGCCACTATGTAGGATCATCGTGCTCAGACTTTCACGTGTTTGATTTAGAAAAGCATACAATGAATTGGATTCATAAGAGTTTTTCTGGTTGAGTCAGCATCTTAATTGACCCCTGGGATAACTGTTTATCAGCTGAATGACAACTGAAGGCAAACTACTTACCCTGCAGTTATAGTTTCTTCTGTGGTCTGGGGTCATTATATCAAGGATGTCGATATTAGCAGCTCAGGAGAATTTTCACCTTTACTAGGTATAAACCTAACCAAAGAACTAACTCACACAGTACATCCGAGCCCAATCTAATAGGGAGGAAGGATGAAAGGACGCTCAACTTTCTTCCTTCACACTTGAGTGTTTTTTTGCTTTTACTCGTGATATCACCTTTCTTCCACTTTCCTCTGTTCTCACACACTGTCATGCAGTTAGTGCTCTAAACTTTCTGGACATGAGCCCTTGTTATAAACCCTTTATCTACTGTGCATTCTCTATTAAAGAGTCACATTTTTTATGCTCCTGGAGGTGTGAAAGTTCCTTCCTGTGAGCATTATCACTGTCCTTTACTGCATAATCAGATGACATTTCACCCATCAGAGTTTGATGATGGTTATACTTATAATTGATATACTGAGTTTACAGCAATTTCAACTCAGGAGACCAAATCAAAATTTACCTCAGGGTAAATTTTAAGCAGTCTAGCAATATCCCAGAAATCCCTCTCAGTGATCCCAATATACCCATGTATATTAATACTAATGTACCTGTAATCTATCCAGTATCTTAATGTTTATCAATATCATTTTATCTTGTGCTGATATATAATACCATACATGTTCCTTGATAGTATAAATTTATTACACAAATCAATAATAACTGTATTCGATGGCTACAACATTTCGGTTGCTGTAGGAAGATTGCTGTTTTAGAAATTTAAACTCTGAGCTTGCCCCGTGGCTCACTCGGGAGGGTGCAGCGCTGGTAGCACTGAGGCCGCGGGTTCGGATCCTATATAGGGATGGCCGGTTTGCTCACTGGCTGAGCGTGGTGCAGACCACACCGTGCCAAGGGTTACGATCCCCTTACCGGTCAAAAAAAAAAAAAAAAGAGAGAGAGTGAGAAATTTAAACTCTGGATACCGACTGCTATCTCCACTTCCTTTCTTCTGAACAGTCATCAAACACTGCCAATTCTACCATATCACTATCTTTCTTAACTACATTCTTCTTTCCACGCCCAGAGATGCACCTTAGTTAGAACCCAGTGGTCCCTCCCCTGGCTATTGCAATAGTCTCTTCACTAAAGTCACACTCCTAACATCTCTCTCCTACATCCACCTTCTTTCTAGTGTGATCTTTCCAGAACTTGGCTCATGGCTCCACATCATTTAGTAGGTAAAGTTTGAGCTCATTTGGCAAGCCCGCAGTGCCTTCTGTGATCTGACTCCTGCCTCCTTGTCCAGCGTCCTT